CTCTTTTGTTTCAACAGCATAAGAAAACATGAGGGATGTGGGAAACTGAATTGCTGGCCTCAAGATTTCCTTTTTACTTGTGATATCGGTCAAGGAAAATGGAAAAGTTCAAAATCCTTTGGAAAGTTTTTTTCTTCCAACTATGCGTACACATGTACACAAAGAGAAGACATGACACTTGGAAATGCAACAGCAAGGAGTAAAGGAGGAAATAGAAAGAAAATGGCAATAAAGAAGAAAAATATATGTACCAAAATGCCAAGGCTCGTGGACATAGTAAGGAAATAATTGAATTGTATTTCATCAGTATCATTATGCTAGCCCTTGTGTTAGAAAAATACATTTTAATGAATATGCTGAAATACTGCCTTTATTTTTGGTTGTCATCTTCAGAAAAAAGGTTAGAAAACTCTCCTTGTTCCCCTTTTGTCTTTGTGCCCTGCACAGGAGAGGCAACCCAAAAGCACAAGTTAATGCTTACTGTGTCCTTGTAAAGGGATACACAGAAGAAAATCTTCCATTCTCACTGAGACCCACTTTGGTGGAAAATGAGTCATGAATATATAGCCTAGTGTAGCCCACAATAAATTTATCATCTGCATGGTGTTGCAAATTAATTTTAAACTAATCAGTCAGCATCTTGAGAAAGTGGATGTGTCTGAAATAAAATTCATGTAATACCTTGATTGTAGACCTAGTAACAGGAAGTCACTTAGAGAGCCAAACACAAATGGTTAAATTAAAGGTACCTATTTTCATGCTAACCCTATGAAGACAAGACAGGTGAGATCGCTACGAAAAAGAAAAATTTTGATTCACTTTACGTTGACCCTAAATGTTTGGTGATCTGGAGGTATATTTATGAACAAGCCTCATGATTTCTGATACCATGGCATGGCAGGTGGGTCTTGATGTAGAAGTTAAAACAATATCTTCCTACTGCAAAACAGGGAGATAATCTTCAAACCAGAGGCACAAATCTTGGTCTTCCCTATTTTGCAAGGCCCAAATGGCTGAGGTTGGAAAGCAGTTCTGGAAACAACAGCCCAGCCCTCAGTTCAAACCAGGCCAGCCAGGGTAGGATGCTCAGTGCTACAGGTGGATCCCTAAATCCAGAGGTTATAAAGAATGTTCAATTTCTTTCTTCAAAGCTTCACAGCTGGAGAAAGAGTAGTGATGTAGTTTTAGAGAAACAACATGCCATGTAACCACTTTGGTTATGTGCATGCTGGGAATCTGGGAGGTGTAACAGTAATCAAGCAGAGGAGATAAATGGGCATTTTTTTGGATTAGTGCTCCAACAAATCTGTTACAGTTTGAGGCAGGCCATTCTAGACAGAACATTTCTGGGAGAGAGAAGATCCCTTTGTGGCTCTCCAAGTTATTTAAATATGCTAGTTACTTGTTCAGCAATGTTATTGGTGGGAAATTCTGCACATACAGCAGAGAGGTATCTGCTGAACCTCGGAGGCAGACTCCTCCCCCACTTCCAGCTTGTTTTTATAGAATCATAGATTCCCCAGGATGAGAGAGCAGCTGGATGGAGGTTTCTGGGGTTATTTTGTATTCAAGGGGAAAGTTAAGTCACTCCCTCTCACTTTCAGCACATTTTTAATTTGAGCTGGTTGTTGAAACACAGTTTGGTAGATGGCAATGTAATAATCTGTAAAGTTGTTTTTTTCTGCCCTTCATAAGGACATTGACAATAGCAGATAAACTGAATTCATAAGTAATTAGAATGAGCTGTTAATTGCCCCAGTGCAACTTGTCATTCCAGCTGATTGATTTGCTCAGAGACAATCTTCTGACATTTTCTAAGGGCCCTGGGGGATGTGTGGCTGAGCACCCAGCTGACCTCCCTGCTGCCCCAGGTGAACTGCAGGTTGCCTGAGTGATTTGTGATCCCACATCTCACCACACCTTTTAAATACCTGCTCAGTTGGATTGGCCACTGGTGAAGGTGAATGAATTGAAGCTGCTGAGCCATGATCAGGGAAGCAAGGTAGAAGCATATGTTTCCACTTGTCTCGCTACAAGGCTATTTCCTCAGGGGTGGGAGAATTGTCATTTCTGAGTTGCTGAAGGATATCTAGAATCACATATATGTGTGTAGAATAAGAACAAGAATCAATTAGTAAAAGTTGCATCTGTCTCTCTTAGAAGTAAAGGGACTGAAGTACTGAAGAAAGGAATGGAGTCTTCCTGTTAGTGTATCGGGTCTGAAACAGAAAGATTCAGAAATTTGAGTCCTTTCCTGCTGTTTTCTAGACAGGGTTAGGAGACTTTGTTAGGGAAGAGGATGTGATGGCCTGCAGACCAAAGTGATCCGTGACAATCACACCAAGGTCAAAGTGAGTGAAGGATCAGGGTTACATTTGTTCAAACCCCAGGGTGGCTGTGGTAACTCAGTAACAGTGAGTGGTGCCTTTTGTTATGTACTGTCCTAGCAGGCAACAGGCTGGAGGTGAGGTAAGATGAAATCTCAGTGTGTGTGGGAGGAAATACATAAAATATTCCTCTTTACTCAAAGTAGAGGGCTAGGTAATTTAAATGGAATATATAACTTTTTCTACTTTGCCACTGTTATAGAATGAAAAGAATGGAAACTGTAGAGCAACAGTCAAATAGAAAGTATGGAAATGGCACAAGGATGGAACGGTTTTAACTGCAAAGAGGAACATTGTTATAGTTCATATTTCTAAAGTCTCGTACCTTCCTGGCAATATATCTTGGGGGCAGTTCTTCACAGCTCTGACTTCTGCTTGTTGCTGCTTCTTAGTCAGGGCTCCTTCCATGCTCTCCCTGACTGGCCAAGCTCACCCCCTTTTATCCCAGTTTTCTTCACTAGCCACAGCTGCCGCCCAATTAAGGAAATCACAGCTGCAGCCCATCAAGAACTACTGGGGCTTATCAGGGCAAGGCCTGTATACAGATATTCAAATACAATACAGATATTTTTCTAGGACTCCTACTATAGAGGAGAGATTTAATTAGATGTTAGGAAGAAATTCTTTACTGTGAGGGTGGTGAAACACTGGCAGGGGTTGCTCAGGGAAGCTGTGGCTGCCGCAGCCCTTGGAAGTGTTCAAGGCCAGTTTGGATGGGGCTTTAAGAAACCTGGTCTAGTGGCATCACTGCCCATAGCAGGGGAGGTGGAAATGGATGATCCTTCAAGTCCCTTCCAACCCAAACCATTCATTACCACATTTTTATGAAACATTTTGATTCAGGCTGAAAAGAAGAGTCAACACAATTTGGGGGGAGGGAGGAAGGGAAAGAAAATCATTGAGTTTGGATACATTTTGGTTTGGTTTAGGTATAATTGATAGAATCTGTTGTCCTTTTAAATTGATAATTTGAAAATGAATTTTGAAAAGATTTTTCAACTTGGATAACAACTTCCAAATCCACTTTCAAATAGCCTTTTCAGAAAAGTAGAATTCTGGTTTAATGAAAAAGTGATGTTCCAGCTCTTGATTTTCTTCCACAAGAAGAAGAGCAAAATCAAGAATAAACTTTATTCAAAGCCTATTATTTAGACACAGGTTAAGATCCCAAGCCTCTCTTGCTCTCAAATACTGTATTCTGAACCAGAGAAAACATCTTTCACTGCTATTATTTAAATTATAGACTTCCATAAAAAGTCTTTTTAGAAATTTGATTTTTTTCAATTACTCATACATCCATCAAAGAAGTGCCACTGTAATATAGCATAAGTTTTATTGGAAATCCTGATTATTCCAGATATTTATGGAAACTAAATTTCCTGTTTTATTGGTCTATTTTTTACACACATACATAACATATTTCAGAGCACAGCGGGACAGCATAAAATAAAAGGGATAGGTACTGGTTAATATGAAATGCTATCATTAGTGAAAATTAAATTAATTGTATTATGCCTTATGTGATATTGGTTTTTAATGAAAATACTGGAACAAAACAGCAGAATTTCTTGAGAAGGGAAAAATTCTGTAAACAAAGCATCAAATACCTCACCAGGAAGCATTAAATTTCTGAAAACGAGAAAGAAATCAACCATAATTTCTAACCTATTGGGAAGGTTAGAACCACAGTCTCTAAAATACTGTCTGTACTTTCGATTCACATCAATGACTTTGCTTAATCTTTTTAGCCTATTGCTAGTAAATTCAGGTAGTGCTTAGAGTAACTTTCATGCCACAAGAAGATTCTTCAAACTCTGGTCAAATGGATAGGACTGGATCATATTTGAAGACAATTTCCATATTTGTCATTTACCTTATTCTGCTTCAGAAATTCTTGGAATAAACTTTTAAAATTTTCCTTCTTGTCTCTGTGTGTGTAATTTTGTAATGATTACAGATATATTGAATTGATCCATGGACTTTAAGCAAGGTAATTGCTGTGATATATAGAATGTCCATTAAATAAACAGAGGTTAGTAAAGCTTGCTGTTATACACCAAAATATCCATGGACTCTGAGTCATATCCCGGTTGGGTTTTTCAGTGCAAGGGCATAGATTTTGTGGATTAAATTTGTACTGTGCCAAAATGGAGCTGTTAAAAGTCTTTTTAATTCATTACAAAACCTCTTCTAATCTGAAGCCTGAAAGCTGCATACACCATAAATCTTTCCTGAGTATTTACAACAAAGTTGCCAGAAGGAAAATTACTCCATCTGAACACTTTACCAAATAGAAGAGAGCCTGAAGCATCTATTAACATTTATCAATTTTTTGGTGAAACCTTTAATCCAGTATTGATACATAATATTCACTAAAATGTGAAAGTGTAAATAACTAGGCTGTATACAATGAGGTGTTTAAATCAAATGGGCATTAAGAAAATCAAAGCACTTCATTACTGCTGTAATCTGTAACTGTTCTTTGCTTGCTCAGCTAATTTCCTTTTTCTTTACAGATGAAAATCTATGTAAAATCATAAATTTTATTGTACTAATTTTTTCTCAGGCACTTAATTTGGTGTTTTACTATATTACTTCCACAGCTGCAAATGGCACTGCAGATCAGTATGACACAAAACAATATATCTTAATGGAATAAGAAGATGACTAGGAGTTGTTCAAAAGGAAGAACAAGAAATCAGTTGGAGCAGAAACAGAGAAGGATTCTGAGGAGTGGCAGTGATACAGGCAGAAAAAAACGATCTGTGAAACAAACCTTTTGACTTGCATCTGTGGAGTGAACTTGGAGTAAGAGCACTTTCCAAGACACACTGTCTACCATGATGAAAAGTAGGACAGCTGGCCAAGGGCTTAGCTTCATGTGGGGACTGATATTTTAAAGAAAGGAAAATAAAAAAGAAAAAAGAGCCTTTTATAGAAACAGCCAAATCACTGACAAAATGTAATTAGAAAGCTTTAAATCCTACAGAATTCAATGAAATGGTTTGTTTTTTTTTCCCCCAAGTGATTCAACTGGATTGAGAAAAACAAAACTTCCAAAAGTAAAATGAAAAATATTTCTTTTTTGGAATTGATGATCACCAAAAGAGGTGTAACATAAAATACTTTTAAAAGTTTTTGAAGATTATTAGGTCTCTGGTGTTTGTAGAAATGCTTTTAAAACTGTTTTGAGGCTGATCCACCAGTGACTAACAGACTAACACAGAAAAGTGGAGATGGGATGCTGTGCCACATGGTTTTCAGAGATATCACAGCTAAAAAAGGAAAATAATACAAAACCTTGGCAAGGTCTCTGGTGTTGAGATAACCCTGAGGTGTTAGAAAGTCTCTTTTTTTCAGCTCTGAGACTGAAGAAGAAGGCAGAATTCTTTGGCTCTCATTCTCAAGGTGGGTTATTTGCTTTTATCTATAACATTCTTTCTCTGACCTGCTGAGCTCTGTCTAGCACGTCGGTTCATGCACACAGACTGCTTTGGGTTGGTGTTATCTTTTTGTACTAAAAACTACATGTACATTATTTACAATAATTTTTCTAATATCTATCACTTATGTTAGACAGTTTGTCTCTAAACTAATCCTTCTTGTTCTCCACCATTGCAGCAGAAGTTGGACGACAAGAAGGAGGAGAAAGACAACATGCTCAGATTCTTCTATCCTGCTTCTTGAACTCCTATTCTAAAAACCCCAAAATTCTACATTTTCACTTGGTGATAAATTCAATAGCATTCTACTCAGACTCTTGTGGCTTGTAACTTCTTGCACAAAGCTGGTAATTGTTTCTAGGGGCTAAAATCAAAGGCACAGGTGTTTTTGACTCTGTGCCAAGGTCTCTGAGCCCCCTGACAGGGACTCGAGTCCTCCGGGGCAGCCAGAGGAATTTCTTGGGTTCTGACAAACCTGACAAATCTTATATCTGTTTTTTATGGATCTTTCTGGGGAAAAAATGTTCCTGCAATATCTGTTTCCTTCTGTTTTCCTTAGATTTTGTTGCTCAGGATCAAGAGACTTGTTTTTTTTTGCTTTCGGGACACTGTAAATAAAAACTTAAAAGGTGATTTGAGATACGTAGGTTTAAATCAGACTTAAAAAGTTGCATTTATGCATTTAATATATTTCCAATATTGTGCATCATATGGTAACAAACCTTTAAAAATGTGGTAGGCAGTGCTAAGCACAGCAGGATTGTTAAGCTTAAACAACATCCAAAGCATCAGACTTACCTGAAGATAAGTCAGAACTACTGACATTTTCTTTGACTTCAGTAGGTGCTAAAGAAGGGTTAGTTATGAGACTCCTCATATAATGACCTTTAATTTTAAAATTAAGGTCTAGAAATGTGCATTTAAGTGGTGGCTGTGACATTCTCATTGGCAGGGAACACACAAAGTGTGCCTAAGTGCTTTCTGCAAATTACCCGCCAAGCTGCCTAAAGGTGGCATCTGAGTGAAGCAGATGAGTAATAAATATCCTTTTTAAGGCTCAGAATTAAAACTGGTCTGTGAGAAGTGAATGCTGGGGCATTTTCAACATTTTCATAGGAACAGTAGGATAGAGTAACACTACTTCAGTAATATCAATTCAGACCCAATGGGACCATTCCTTGTGGCAGATGGTAGGACACTCCTGTGCTCAGAAGCATGGAGCCCTCAGACATCTTTGGCATTTTTCACTCCGTTTCTTACCATTGTAACTCTGATATTTTTTTGGTATCTCTTAGCCTATTTTGAATTTCATTGAGATTTTGTCTTCACTACCATTTGTGACAGTTAATGACAGCATACAGGACATTTGCTTACTCTGTGAAAATTACTGTTTCTGCTGTGAGATGTAGATTTGGTGCTTCTTGTCTCATGCACTGGCTAGAGACTCTCACCTTGGCATTTCAGGCTTATCTAGCTTTCTTTGGGTGTTTTTGAAAACTCTGTGTATGTGGTTTTATAACTATGCCACATACAGGCACAGTTTGTGTATCTATACTGCATTTGACAACTAATTTGATATGCATCCCTAATTTGCTCCCTCTAGAGGGATTTAGTTTACAAAGCCTTTGCAAGATTCAGTCCTGAAACACTGCATGTGCTTAGGTGCACTTGATCCATGACTAACTCAAATAATAAAAAGCTCATGGTGATAGTGCTACACTTTTTCACAAATATAATAGTACTTAACCAGATGGATGAAAACAGATGGGCTGGTTTTATATCTTCTTTTTTCCCACCCTTTTAGTCTCTAAATAAGGTTTAATTTCCTGCACCTAGTAAATTGCTCCTACTTTTGTATGGGGAAAAATAATCAGATCTCTAATAAATTAATTATTTAGCCATAATTAGCAATTCATGCCTCAAAATTTAAAAAAATTCAGAAGGATGTTCATAAAAAATTATGCAAAACCCACAAGTCAATACATTTCCTCCACTGAACTGTAAGAAACTATTCAAATGCAAATTCTTTTATTGTTAACCTTTTATTTAAACTTGCGGCTTATAGTATCACTGATGCATTTAAGAAATTCAAATGAGTACTTAATTTTATTAATTCCTCTTAACAATACTGTTAAAAAAGTAAGCTGTACCTTTTTAACAGTGAAAACTCTGTGAAATCTAGCACTTTTGTTGTGTTTAAATCAGGTTTGTGCCTATGAAATTCTTCCTTGGTCCACATTTTCTTCTTCAGAGGAAACAAAATCACCAACTCCTTCATCAAAGAAATTTTATGCACTAGTGGAGAGCTGACCAGGTATGTGCAGTTTCAGACATTTTTGCTGTCTGCTTCACAGGAAGCAGCATATTCTAAAGAGAAATTTGACTGATTGTCTGCTCCAGCCAGCCCAGATGTGATGTGTTTGGTACAGGGAGGATGTGGGCAGAGCTGCAGGGAAAGCAGCCACTGCCACAGGCTGCCTCTGCCTGCCATGGTTTCTCTGTGTGAGAATACAGTTCAGCTTCTTGTGGAAGAAGGCAGCTGAGCCTGAAAGAGCTGTGACCTCGGAGAAGATCCGTCTAAGGAAACAACTACACATGCAAGAAGAAGCTTTTAGTAAGGAGGCTGGAGGTAAACACAAATGGGTTTCTCTTGGTTTTGATTTGTTTCTGTTTCAACAGTAGCATGTTTGCAACAAGCAGCAAAGACTTGCAAAAGAATATGTAGAAAGGGTTTGTAGGTACAGAAAAACACCATCCCCCACTGCACAGCAAGTAAAAAAACACAAAGCCTTTTGGAAGATTTACAGAATCATAGAACCATAGAATGGTCTGGGTTGGAAAGGACCTTTAGATGTAATCTAGTCCAACTCCCCTGCAATGAGTGAGGACATCAATCAGGCTGCTCACAGCCTGTCTGACCTGACCTTGAAGTTTACATTTGTTACCTCTAATGTGCTCTCTTTGGGAGAAGCACAGGGAAAAAGGCTTGGACCTAGCAGGACTTTTGTCACCTTTTGTCACAGTCCTTCACTGAGGTAGCTGGATGCATCTGGACAATCTCCACCTCTAGACTGAGGATCTTGTGCCTTTTTGGGTGTCAGAAGGTACTGAGATGAAGCAAAGAATGCACATTTGCTGTGGTATGTAGTGTTCCCCTCCAGGGAGGTTCCAGATCATCTGAAGCTCTGACTGGAATGTCAGTTCTCCTGAGAAGCATTTTACAAAGGCTTGAAATGAAACTGAGCCTACTCAGTTTTACATTTTAATGATAATAAAAAGCCCCCCTACAACAAATCCTTTGATAACATTTTACTGTTTTTTTCCTTTTGGAGAAATTCACAAGGCATCAAACGTGTCTTAATGATGGGACTTGGGAGTATGACACAATGACTCAAATACGTTTAAGAGTGTCCTGATTTCAGCCACGACAGAATTAATTTTTGGAGCAGCCAGGAGAGGACATGTCTGGGACACAGACTTTACTCTGTACCACTTCATGTTATTTTCCAGGATGAGGGAAGGGCTCCCTTCTGGATCATGTATTGTGGTGGAAGGGGTGGTTGGATATTATGGATGTTTCTGTGAGAATAATTTCCCTGTTCCTTGTACCCTGTGTCATTAGTATTGCTGTTACTGTTCTGTTTTCTTTTCACATTGTTGGTTCCAGTAAATTGTTCTTATCTCAACCCCTGAGCTTTGTGGCTCCACTTGCCCTCTCCAGCCTGTTTCAGGGAGAGAGAGAGGAGGAAGTGAGTGGCACATGGTTTGGAGAGTCTCAGTAGAAGCACTAAATTGGGGAGTACCAATCCTAAACCACAACAGCTTTATTTGAAAATTAACCCTGTCTTGGCTGGAACTAGGACAAAGAGCTATTCCAACCACTCTATGTAAAGCTCCTGCTTTCTGCGAATGAACTCTACTCTGTTCAGTAGAGTTGGACTCTAGTGTTTTTAAAATATTTTTAAAATGCCATGTTCTTAACCTTCCTGGGCATAATTTTCATGTATTCCTCTTTGTAACCATCAAATTTATTTGTATTTCATTGTTATAAGTTTGAATTTCTTGCCTATATTTCCTGTGTGCTATATATTAGACTTTTGTTTTCTCACAGTTTTCTTTCAAACTCAACAAGTACCCAGTTTTAATTAAAAGGGCTTTCCTTCTTTGGAACATGCTAAAATATTTTAAAATAATTTCCCTTTTTTTAGTCACATTTATAAAATTTTACTTTTTCTCCTCTTCAGTCTTGTATATATTCACTTCCATGGTAAATAAAAAAAAAAATTACCTTTATTTGTGTCTTAGCTTTCTAAATTAAAAATTAAGCATCTTTTCACTTTTTTCTGACCACATTAGAAATGAGTTTCCAGCTTTCAGACCCAGCAGGAGCACGTCAACATTTGGGTATTGGACTAACAGCAAGTGGTCATAATTTTGTCATGAAAATATTCAGGACAATGTAAATAATTTTTTAGAAATGCAAAATATAAATCAGAGGGAAAACTAAAGGATTAATCCACCTGTCTACAACTTTTAATAAAATTGCTAATCTGCTGCTTGCTCAAAAAATGAAAATCATCAGCATTTTGATCCCCACAATTTTCAGTGACAGAAAAAAAATTATAGAGAAGCAAAGCTTACAACAATTCTAACATGGTTTAGTGCATATATTTATCTCTCTATCCACACTCAATTAAATAGTATGGTATGTGGCTCATCTAATTTCCTTGTTCCAGCACAAAGACACCCACCACTGAAGTTAATGGGGTTTATACTATTTTACAGAGCTATTCTAAGTTGAATTAACAGGAGCATTTTATTCAGTGTTGCAGTGGAGAGTCTCTTGTCAATCTCAGGGGCATTACAGCTTGGCTCACACTTCCACACACTGATATGTGCTTAACCGTCTCATGAACACAGAAAAACTCTCTGAATTGTATCACATGATCAGAGCTCCAAGAAGCTTGAGTTAATGTCAACATTACCTTTCTTGCCATTTTCAATCTGCAGAATGAAATCACAGCTGGAGTATTTGGAAAAACATGTATATTATTATTAACCTTTGGAAACTTATGGATTGAGCACTGGTAAGGCTAAGGTTGAAATCACAACAGTTTCTTTAGGGTTTAGAAAGCAACTCTTCTGAGCAACAGCTCAGGGAACTGGGGTTCTTTAATCTGGAGAAACAAAGGCTCAGGAGTGACCTCATTTCTCTCTACAATCACCTGAAAGGAGATTGCAGTGAAGTGGGGGTGATTCTACTCTGCCAGGTATCAAGTGAAACGATGACCAGAAATGGCATGAAATTGTCCCAGGGGAGGTTCAGATTACATATTAGAAAAAAAACAAAAACCACCGAAAGAGTAATCAGGCATTGGAATAAATTGCCCAGGGCTGTGGTGGAGTCAACATCTCTGCAGGCATTTGTGTGTGGCACTTGGGGATAAGGTTTTGGAGTGATTATGGTGATTCTGGGCTGACAGCTGGATTAAATGATCTTGAAGGTCTCTTTCAACCTTGATGATTGTGAGATTCTGGGATTCTTGCCTTGCTGTACTTTCTTCAGCATGGAGGTGTAGTTTAATTCTCAGCTGTAAATTGTGAAGCATTTGATGTTTATTATTTTGGTAATTTTTAGGAATGGTACCTCAATAAAACATCTAATCCTAATGTTCACTTGTTTAGTAGGAGCATTCTTGTTGGACGTCTTGTATTTTCCTGTATCACCTCCCACCATAGATGAAGTAGAAAAGATACAACAGCATCCCTTCCTGAAAATAAAATTGACTTAAGTGAGCTTAGTCTGAAGTCTTAAGTTATTAACAAATTTTGCCAAGTATTTAACACAGCTTCTCAGTGTACCATGACCTTTTCCCTCTGGGTGAGCTAGAGAAGGATTTGATGTGGAATGAAAGTAAA